AGTATTTATACCAGCATCTTTTAACACGTATTTTAACCATGGGGAAATGGTCGCTAAAGTGACCGAATGATAAGGTTTTTGATAGCTCAATAGGAGTTGTCTTGCACCATTTCATATGGGTGCAGTGGAATTTAGAAATAGGGACAAGTAATTAAATACACATAACTCAGGCTCTGGTGGATAAGACCGAAATTCTAAAGGAGCAGCATGCTTAACAGGTTTAGATGTTTTGAGCAGTTGGTGCACATGAAAACTATTCGATCTTTCTTGTCCATATGAGAAATATCCAATGCATGAAGTGTTTGGCATCGCTGACCAGATAATAAAGCTAAAAGAATTACTGTTTTAGTGTTAATGATTTCAAACTGAGATCTTTCGAAGGGTGGAGATTTCGAAGATGTTTGAATACCACTGAAACGTTTCAGACCATGGCATATCTAGGAAGAGCTGGTCTTGCAACAAATACACCTTTAAAAACCTAGCAACGAGTGGATGTGTATCAAACGAGATGCCACTTGGTAGCATTAGGATAGTAGATAAGGCGCTCCTTGCAGTATTAATACCGCTGTAGGATAAAACTTCCTGGTATAATTTTGTAAGAAAATTAATGCCTCTTCTACAGAGGACGCGACAGGATCGATATTGTTTGCGTTGCAATATTGTCGCCAACGGTTAAGGTATGTAGAATAGTAATTCTTGGTACCGGTCCGCCAAGACTGCTGGATGATTTGAGAAGCCTCTGGTGAAATGCCTCTATCAGCGAGGAGTTCCCCGATAAATGGCAAAGTAGTAGCTCCAGTTTTGTATGGAGAGGGGATTTGATCCGAATGCGCTGGAAGAGTTAAGATCATTCTTTCTCTAGGTAAAACAACAGGATGTGCTATAGCATCTGCATTAAAGCTGTGTTGTGTTAGGGACTAAGACTAGTCCTGTGCTTTTATCTTGTACTATTTTTGTAACACTTGCGAAATTATGCTAAAAGGTGGGAACGCATGAAATGTATAAATGGCCCACGATATCGTAAAGGCGTTGACAGATATAGCATACGAGTCAGGTTGGTATGAAACATAGGGTTTCACTTGATTATTCAACCTTGACGCAAACAAATCAATGTTCGGAGTTACGTCTAGTTTTGAATGGCGCACGTAAACAGAGTCAAGTTCAACTGCCATTCTGTTTCTGCGTGATATTTGAGATTCTCCATCCGCAGTGACATTTTGTAATCCTGGAATGTGCGCTGCTGTCAACCAAATATCATACGAAATGCAGCAGGTCCAAACATTGCATGTCAACTTGTGAATAGACCTTGAGTGGCATGTGCCCATTTGATTAATTCAAGTTACAGCGGTAGTATTATCAATTAATACCTTAACATGCTGACCTTTTGTTCTGAAGAAAACGACTCAAGGGCAAACAATACCGCAAGAATTTCCAAATAATTTATATGATTTGAAGCCTCCAAGAGCGTACAGCTACCCCCTGCACATACACCATTTAGGGAGCAGCCCCACCCTGTCGACGACGCATCTATTGTTAGGCATATGCTAGGTTCATTGTGTTATGTTTATTAATTTATGTTAATTTAATAGGATTTACGTTATTAGTTATGTTAATTGTTATAAAGCTTAAATATATAAAAGGAGTTAACTTGTACTATCTAGGCAGTGGTAACATACACATAACTGAAATATGCAACACTACACATTGTGAGTAACTTGCCTGTATGTCGTGCCTATTGATGACTGCCACCATCGTAAATCATGTATGGCCTCTAAAGACAAGGTCATTGTCTTGTCAAAATTACCCCGGTTTAACTTAAGGGCATCGATTTTATCCATTTCCAGCCAGCGATAATGCAACTGACCGTACATTACGCCCAAGAGACTCGAAGTGAGAGTGCTCAAAACCAGAGAAACATCTCTTATTTTTGGGTGAGAAACTTGTAGCAACTCATGACACCTGCGTTTTATCTTCTCAGCTCGTTCTGCCGTCACAGATATTCGCATAAGAACTGAGTTGAGTCGGAAACCCAAAAAAGTAATTACTTGTGAGGGAACTAAAACTGACTTATCCGGATGTACGTAAAACCCCACTTCACTAAATAAACAGATGGTATCTCGAATATTCCAAACACATGAAGCGTATGTGTCGGATGTCAGCCAAGTATCATCAATAAATCCAACCGAAATGTGTCCTTTTTGACGTAAATTTGAAAAAACAGGTTTGAGGTGTTTTCTAAATTTTCGTGGGCAGATGGCTAGGCCGTTAGGAAAACAGACAAATTTATATAGTTTCCCTCTCCACCAAAATTTGAGAAATTTTTGATATGCTGGGTGAATAGGTACAGAATAGTAAGCATCTTTGAGATCGATGGATGCCAAGAAACAATTTGGTTTCATAGGCCTAATAGCTGACCAAACACACTCTATTTTAAAATGGTGATATCTGATAGGCCTTTTCAAGGATTTCAGATTAAGAATCATGCGAAAAGACTGTCTTTTTGGGGCAAGTGAAAATTGGAGATACAAATTCCCGATTCAGGGTGAGAAATCTGCAAAACGCTTTTTTTGCGTAATTTGTTTATTTCTAAATCAATATTGTTCATTTCAACCTCGGGTAGCTGTATTTGCTTGGGTAAAGCTCTTTGAATCGGAATTGTGTCAAATTCAATTTTTTTCCTGACACTGTCTCTAAGATTTTCTTATCAGAAGTGAGTGTTTCCCATGCACTTGAAAAATATGATATGCTGCCAGCCTGATAGGTCTCCAAGCTTTTATTTAAATACGCTATTAGCGTGGGTACAAAAGAAGAATACTGGTTCACCTGTACAGTCTTAAAATTTTTTAAAAATTCAGTCCTTCCTACTTGCAATCATTCATTGTGTCCGATCGTTTCTTCTCGAATTGTTTCATCTTCGACCGATGGTGTTGCCCTGATGACAGGATAAAAAGGGCGCCATTGTCGTTTCCCTTGTTTGGAATGTTGCTGCCAAGTGGTATTAGAAGAACTTGTTGTCGCGTTGCCAATCTTGTTGGAGTGCGAATGTGATTAATTTGGGTTTGCATTTCATCTCCAAACAAATATTCCGTAATGAGAACATGCGATGCGCATAAAGTACTAAATTCTCGATGGAGATTGGGACGTATAGCGTCACGTCGTCGTTGAGACAATTCAAAACTTACATGTACCAGGATCGCTATGATATCAGCGTTCATACGAAAAAGATTATCAATATTCAGTTCGCTGCCCTTATTTCGAGCAACCAACAGATCATTCGTGTTTTGTGCTGCTACACGACCAACATTCGTATCTGATGGAATGGCACTCAATTGTAAATTACGCCCTCTAGCTGTGCGGTCTAATTTTCCCCAAATTTAGGGGCTTACCTTAGGTACAATAATGGGATCGCAGTTCTTAGGCCTAAAATATTTAGCCTGTTTTTTCTTCAATTGCTCGTCACTAAGCTTATCCAGCCAACGCTGGTTGATAATTGAGGCGAGCTTCTCGTTTTCGATTGGTGAAGTTTTCTCGGTTTCGTCTAGAGTCTGCGAAATGTCTTCCAGCAACGGGTCCACTGCTAGTTGTTCTGCTTCAGATTTACGCTTGGTCGAAGGTTCTTCGTTTTTGTGCCAACAAGATTTCACAATCTGCATCATGCCCTGATTAAGGAATTAAAGCACTTGCTTTTCTCTTACGAGTAGATTCTACTGTAGAAGATACTAGAGGATTCACTCATTGCAGTCATTGCTTCACTCATCCTACAAAGGGCGGTTGCCACCTTCAAATTCTTTGATGTGACTTGCACTTCTTCGCTTTCTTCCATCATTTCACCTTGATCATCGTGTTCAGCAAAACCCAGGAGTGCTGCTTGATCTCCGACATCATCTCTTGTCGTATACTCTTCACTTGTAGAAGCCATAATTCAAGAAATTTGTAATATAGTGTGGAAAGGAACTTTTTGTAACTGATCGCTGTGAAATCTACGCTCGAACTGATCTTGATATCGCGCGCTCTATCTCACATGACTTCCTAGTGACGTAGAACAGTGACGAAATGGAATTATAGATTTATAGTGCCATTGTCGCACAACCTAAGATTTCTGTTGTGCGGGATGCTAAATCACGATTCTTTTGACGACAAACGTTGGTTCATTACCATGAGTATTAATATCAAAAAATGCTTATCCAATTCGTATCTTCAAGACTTCAACTCAATGCGTTACCATGCATTCATCAAATGCGTCGATAAAATGCGACCATCAAAAATGCGTATTGAAACAACCAGAAACAGCGTTTGCAGCCTCTATATATACTAAACATTCAACAAGATAAAATTAAAAAGTTTCCTCTTTGCCACGATTGGAAAGAAGGTCTTCCTCAGCAACTCAATGCTTTAAACTTCCCATGATAAATGCATGTGCGTAATTTAACGTAAATAGTTCCCATTTTACCATGCTCTTACTTCTTTAGTAATGTTCCTGCTTAAAGAAAGAGAAAGATACTTCACTTGTTATGATTATTTATGAAAATTTCTTCCCGTATACTATTTTATACTGATAAGTTTTACATCGTCCATATTATTATTATTGATAAATTGATAAAATTTACGACAATCCAGGTCACGTTGCCAGAAAAACTGTCTGTTGCTCATTTCTTTTGCTGTTTTTCAGTTTTTCCAATTTTTATGAGCACAAAACGGTTAAAGCCACAAAGAATTCAACATAATTTATGTATTTTTTTAATGATCCTTTTATTCGTTTGAAAATGACTGACTCAAGTGGTACCAGCTATTGTCTGACTATAACTGCTAATCTTTGGTTTGGAAACTCATACTTTGACAAAAAATGGCCATTTGGATCGATGTTTAGATAAATTTTGGCCTATTTTCTATTCTAATAATTTTTCAGAATCATATTGGTAATTTATTATAAAAGTCTATTTAAAAAACATAAATCTGGTGAGAACCATATATGGACAATGAACATGATGTCTACATTTCAGCTGTATCCAATTACAAGGAAGTGAATCAGAATGATCTCGTGATGAGCCCATCCTTTACATTTGAATACACACGTCTACACTACAATACAACGAAAGACAAAAATGAAGAAATATTTCATTATAAAACTGTGAATTTACGTTGTGCAACGAAGAAATAAGTGTTGAAACGTAGAAATAGTCGTTTTGGGTCATATTTGGTAAGTAAAATTCTATAAAACATTGATTTTAAAACATTGTTTAGCTACTCTCAGCTTTACTATCACTATCACAGCTTTTACTAACGTTTTATATTTGAACTTTGATATAAGTTTTTCAGTTGGCGGTTGATTTATTTAATTTTAAAGTTTTGTAACCTATTTTTTTCCATTATTTTTCTTCGTTTTTAGTTTGAAATTCAAACAAAGGCTTCTCGATTAAAACCAAACATTGTTCATTAAAGTAATTCAGAGTATTTACAGCATTATATTCTAAATAAACTTCTTGTTTGAAAATGGCTTCACCACCTCAAAAACTGAAGATTGAAGCAAACGGATCTCGTTTAAGTAAACTCTTGATAAATAAAGGAACACAAGCTTTGAAAACAACATTGCAGTTTATTTTAAATTTGCGTTCGTCAAACCTAAGCGATGAACTTAATAAAGCCTCAAATAAAAGTAAATTGGAATCATTAAGAAAAAGAAGCGTCATCAACAAAGAGCAATGGAACCTTCTTTATCCACCAACTGGTTTGCCAGATCTTGAAAACTTTGATATTTCATTAATGACTGTCTTATTGCGTAACATATGTTGTCTAACAGCGCCACATGGTGGATGGGATAATCTTCCTTTCTCTTCAGATACTTCAATCTCAGCAAATATTGCAAGAATAAAGTTTTATCGAAACAAAGTGTACAGTCACATAACCACGACTAGTGTAGATGACAGTGAGTTTGAGCATTTGTGGCAGGAAATTTCAAAAGCATTGGTTGGTCTGGGTATTCAACAAACTGAAATAGATGAATTAAAGAAAGCTCCCCTCACTACCGATGAGGCAAATTATACTAAAATGTTAAAAGAATGGTATAAAAAAGAGGAGCAGCTTATTGATGTCACTGAAAAAGTCAAAGAAAATGTGAAAGTAATAGAAAGAAATGTTGTAGAGATGAAACAAGAGATGGCAAAAAAAGTTACGAACATAAATGAGGATGTAAAGAAAACAAAAGCTGATGTAGCAGAAGTAAAAAAAATATTACAGGACAAAACATATTCAGATGTCGAAAAGCTTGGAAAGTGTAAATTCAACGGTCTTATAAAAGATCTTAGCATGAAATACCTTGAAGGCACTAGACAATGGTTATTTGAAAAACTCGACACTTGGTTTAAAGATAGAAGTGAAGATGCTACTAATGTCATGATTTTAATTGCCGGTCCTGGTGTTGGTAAAAGTGTGTTTGCTGCTGAGGTGTGTCGACGTTATTCTGAGAAGAAGAAACTTGCAGCTTGTCATTTCTGCAGATATAATCGATCAGATTATAGAAATCCTCGAAAATTGATAGAATCATTGGCTAGTAGCATGTGTGATACAATATCAAATTTTAAAAGTAAACTGAATGAAGAATTACAGAGAAACAATTCCAAAGAATCGATCACCGATGAATTCCTTGTTTTATTAAATAATCCATTGCATTCATTGGAAGGTCATGAGCCAATGCTTTTGGTTATTGATGCCTTAGATGAAAGCCAAGTTGATGGCAAAAGTGAATTGTTGGAATTGATTGTAGAAGAGTTTGACCGACTGCCTAAATGGATTAAAATCTTCATCACCAGTCGTCCAGAACTTCCTGTTCAAAAGGAGTTGAAAGACAGGAATCCTGTGGAAATTACAACTCATCCTCGTGATGTAAACAACGAAGAAGACCTGCACAAGTATTTGAGACATCAGTTGAATGATCGGGTGCAGAAAAATCGCTACCTTCTTCCGTCATTAGTTAAAAAATGTGAGGGATCATTTCTTTACGCTTATCACGCACAACTGAGCTTAAAGAAAGAAGAAATTGAGCTTACAGACGAGAAAATTGAGCAATTGGTCCCTAGTGGGTTAAGCGGTGTTTACACAAAGCAATTCAAAAGAGTAAAAGAATTGTTAACGAAGAAAAGTACCAAAAAATCTGTTATCTCAGAAACTACTTTCGTGCAATTTCTTGAATTGTTGGCTGCCTCTCGGGAGTTTTTACCATTAACTTTCCTGTTCAGCTTTTTAGGTTTTTCTGATGACATCAAGTTTGAAATCCGCAGTAAAATCATTGAACCGTTATCTCAAATTTTGCCAATTTACGATGATTATTTGACCGTGTATCACAAATCTCTAATTGATTGGTTGAAATCAGATGGTTACGAACAGCATGAGTTTACAGTTGATCCAAAAAATGGTCATAAGTTCTTATGGCGTGTTTGTGAGAAAGTGTTTGAACAAATTAAGCGTAGGAACATTTCAGAAGATCAGATGAACATTGCTATGATTAGATATGCTTTGAAGAATGGTATCTATCATATGTCAAAATGTGACGAAAATGTTGACTATAGTTGGGCAGATGTTGTCAAAGTGGTTGGTGCGAGGTTAAGGAGTGTGGAAGACAATGACATGCATACCATTAGCTCTGAATTACCATTAGGTATGGTTTTTCCACTTTGACGTTATGTACTAAACTTTATAGTTTTACTGTATGTGTTTACTGAATATACTCTAAAGTAGTAAACTCAAAATGTTTTATCTCACCAACAAATTTTCTTCTCGGAGATTGTCATATATTTATAGTGACTGTATAGTACATTATTCAAAATACCTTTGTTTTCTAAACTTTTTCACTGCACCATATGTATAGTACATCTTTCAAAATACCTTTGTTTTTCAAACTTTTTACTGCACTATATGTATAGTACATTATTCAAAATAGACTTTGAGTTTGCAGAAATAAAGGTTCACTTTACCAAGGTGAATAAGAGAAACAATACGTGTTAGATAATTTAGAGTTAAAGCATGAAATGCCCGAAACGAAAATTCAGCAATCTGTGTTATACTTTTTTTGAACAGACATTTTATAATGATAATGACTTCCTGCACTAATTTATGCATATCACTTTACATTCTGGAGATATCACTTTACATTCTGGAGATATGAAGTTTTTATTATGTCCGATTTATCTGTTGTCACATTGCATAATGAGAACTAGATGTATTAAATATATTTGCTGATACATTATTTTAACATGGCGGAGTTTCCTTCTATTTGGTGTGTTAAAGATATAAATTACTGCGTACCATTATCAACGTAAAGTTGTCAGGAAAATTGAGGGTATTTGAAACATTGTAGCGACTCATTTTGCATGCAATATTATGTCACCAGTAATTGCAAGGACTTCAGTATTTTCAGAATGAAAAAAGTCATGCAGTAAAGGTTTTAGAAAGCACTCTGTCATTTCAAAAGTTCTGCTTAATACAGATATAATTTAACTAGCAAAAATTTCGTTTTATTAGCACTTTAAGATGTCCAAAGAAGGTTTGCGAGAATAGTTGTTGAGATCGAACTGCAATGTTAATGTTTGGTAACAAAAATAAGATAGTCTATGTAAAAGACGAGTGTCGAGAATAGAAAGAAAAATTAAATGAAGCTATTTTGTTATCTTTTGATATGAAAAATTTTTTAGTCTCTAAAATTATATGCTCTCAAAATTTTAATTTAATATTTTTGAAAAACGCAAGATTACTCCTTAAGAAAAATTCATGAAATTACTTCAGAGAGAAGTTTTTGTGATTAATTGTTTGGTATAAGCTAACCTCGAATGTTACCAGTTAAAAAGTTTATGATATGTCTAATGATTGTTAATACGTTTTTTTAAAGTGTACGGTATCAGTAGCCTTTCCTAATTGGGGAAATTTAAGCTATTTTAATGTATTTATTTTGTTTCTTTGACCCTTGATTATAATCTTTTTATCTAGAAGAGTGGAAATACATTGATGAATCAACGAAACATAGAGAATTGTTTTTAAAATTGATTGAATATGGGCGCAATCCCAGTGTTGAGGTTAAAGTTGTGGGCAATGTACGTGTAATATTCTCAGAAGAGTTTTGCATTGGCGAAGGAAGTAATGCAACCCGTGTTTATCTTGGACTGGGTAAGGATGGTTACGGTAAAGCAGTCAAACGAATACATCGAGATAGCTTTATCCAGCTTGCACAGCAAGAAAAGAAAATTTTGAATGATATTAAAGCAAAAAAGTCGAAATATGTTGTGAATTATTTCTACTTAGAAGAAGATACTGGAACGGATTATGTTTATTTGATCTTAGACTTATGTGAAGAATCACTGGTGAAGTTTGTGGAAGATTCTACTTTGCATGATCTTCAAAAAGCTCTTCCTGATATTCTTAGACAAATTTTAAAAGGATTAGCTGATCTTCATAGCGACCCAAATCCTATTCTACATCGGAATTTGAAGCCTTCCAATGTTCTGCGAGACTCAAAAAGTCAATTTCTGATAGCTGACTTTGGCATAAGTCGAATAATGAAGAATGACACGACAACATATAAAAGCAATTCTTCCATGGGAACCCAGCATTGGATAGCTCCTGAATCATATTGCGAAGATGATGATTCAGTAAACAAAGCGCGTGACAAAAGAAGGTCTGATGTATATGTAAGTGTAGGAATGTAAACATTTGTAAGTTGTAAACAAACTCAACGTTGTTAAATTGCATTTTGATGTAACGCTTTTTATTATTTTAGAATGCAGGGATGTTAGCTTATTATGTAACAACAAAAGGAAAACATCCTTTTGGAATTCAACGGTATAGACTACACAACATGCTGAATGGAAACCCTGTTGGTTTGAAAGAAATCAAGGATGAAACATTAAAGGACCTTCTGTTGTGGATGTTAAATCTAAAACCTGAAGACAGACCATATTCTAACGAAGCATTAAAACACCCATTTCTCATTTCAGATGATGAGAAGTTTGAAATGTTATGTGAAGTTGGGAATCTTCATCAGATTAAGACAAATGATCTCCAGTCAAGTGTCGTTCAACAATTGAATAGCGAATGCGTACTTTGGAAAAGTCAAATTAATTGGGATGTCTATGATTATTTTCGCACGTACGAGAAAAATGGAAAAATTTATAAGGTCCGTTATACATCTTCATGGGCAGAATGCTTAAGGCTCATTCGAAATACTCGCCAGCATTGGGACGATCGACCTCTACCACAACCAGAACCATTTTATAAGATTGGCGATTACAGGGCGTATTTTCTCCGAACATTTCCTAATCTCCCTGTTCGGGTACATGCTGCGGTCAGGTCAAATGAAGAATTGAAAAACAAACCAGAACTCAAGAACTTTTTCAGAACACCAACAGTTCCTCAAAGAACACCCCCAGATCCTTTAAGAATACCAACAGTTCCTCCAAGAACACCCGCAGATCCTTCAAGAACACCAACAGTTTCTCCAAGAACAACCGCAGATCCTTCAAGAACACCAACAGTTTCTCCAAGAACACAACCGGTTTCTCCAATGCCACCCCAGCGTGAAAAAGATAGTAAACTTGAAGAGACATTAAAAGGACTTACTTTAAAGAGAGATCAGTATAAATTGGCTGCTCGCGATTGTAACAGAACTGGTGACAAAGAAAATGCAAAAAAATATATGATTATATCGAAGGTGAGTTACTTCTAAAGGAATGGAAATGAAATTTAATGGAAGCATTGTAATCTATTCTCCACAGGTCGTTTTATGGTGTTCTACAAATGCGCGAAATTGATTCCTAATCTTAATCCCTAAGCCTAATCCTTAATCTCGTTGTAGTAGGCTATGTCCGTGATGTTGGAGATTGAATTAGAGCTCTATTTGTTGCATAAGTGATCTATTAAAACTTTTGTTTAGGACTTCGATATTGACATTCAAGCTGTAAAGGATGGAAAAGATGTTGATCTTACACAATGCCCTCCAACTCCCCCTGGATTTCCAGGTACAAGAATGATAACCGGGGGTTGATATACAAGCTCAAAGTTCTGTTAGCTAAATATGGGTTGATGTAAAACTTTCAACGCAATTTTTTACCATAAACTTTAAATTTAATTTCATCTACCATGTCGAGCGAAGGACCGATCTGTTACGTAAAATTTAGGTGGTCAGCCGGTTACGTCAACAAAACCCAAATCTCCTTAGGTAAATTGTCCCCAGACCTCTTCACAGTTCTTCTAGTATCTGAAGCCTAGACCTCTTTCCTTAATTGTCTTCCCTTATTTAAAAAAATCGTTACTGGTCAACCATTATTAAACATTTCTTCATAGGATTTAATTTGAAAAGCCAATTTCTTGATGAACATTACAACATCAAAAAAGACGTTCATGAAAAATTCAAAAGGTATGTTTAGGAAAACAAAATTCCTTGTGTCATCGTCTGTGTTAGCTGTAAGATAGGACAAATTAGTATATGAATAGATAACAAAGGTTTATAGATACTTATAGGCGCATTCTGTTTAATTTAGATTCTTTATCCTATTTTTCATTTTATTATAAAGCATATCGTGGATATGTGGCAACTATGGAACAGTAAGAAAAAACAAAGTTATACCATATCCTCATTTGTATATCACAGTTGATGGTGTTGAAGAAAGGTCCGATGAAGATTTAAAGAAAGAAATTGACACGATATTTGAATGGCAAGCATCAAAATTCATTGAAATCAGGCGTAAACCTTACAAAAAACCAAAGATTCGTTATTTATCAAACTTCCGCGCTGTTCAAAATGATGATGCACCAAATCCAATGCAAAGACTTAATGATGTTGTTTTGGAAAACCAATCAACCAGGGGCTCTCATGGTACAATGACAATGTTCTGTAGCAAAAACAATAAGTATTACGCCTTGACATGCGCACATGTTGCTTGTGGCGCAAATGACATGGTGGACAGTGCATTGACTTTTAACCAGAAAAAAGACTTTTTGGCCTTTCGCGATGCCGTTAAACACCTTAATGAAGGTACAGATTATTTTTACAAACTACCAAACAGTGGTAATGAATTTCTACTTCCCTCTTTTCCTAATGGCGTGTTTGGTCATTTTGACGAAGAAGTTGATATTGTGAGAATTTTCATCGGTGATGAACTTTGTTTTCAGGAGCTTGGAGCAGATGACATGGAATGCTTTGACTTGACTTTAGGTGAGGCAAGTGAAGAACTTTGCGACAGAATCGAAGAGAGGGGTGAATCTGTGAGAGTTCGTACAGATTATCATAACATTGGATTTATAAGTGAGCGAAGTTTTACTCACTTGACAAGGCCTTCAAATGAAATCGAGAGAGAAATCATTTTTCAAAATGCAGTGAAGGTCAGAAGTAATTGCCAATTTCTAAAAAAAGGTGACTCTGGTGCACTTGTTTATTTTTTGGATAGACAAAGAAAATGGCAACCATTTGCATATGGTGTATGTGAAATAGATGATGATGATGATGATGTCGATGATGGTGAGAGTAGTTCTGTTCATGTTGGTAATATTGATGATGATGATGGTGGTGATGGTGGTAATGTTGATGATAATGATTATGGAGTTGATGATGGTGGTGATGATGGTGGTGATGATGGTGGTGGTGGTGATGGCAGTAATGTTGATGGTGATGGTTATGGTGATGATGATGGTGGTGATGATGATGGCGGTAATGATGATGATGGTGGTGATGATGATGGTGGTAATGATGATGGTGGTGGTGATAATGATGGTTATGATAGTGGTATTGAAGGTGATGGGGGGGTGATGGTGATAATGTGATATTTGAAGGTCCAAGTATGAGGACCTTCATATGTTTGAAATTAGATAAAGCTTTAACTGCTGTTAAATTGAACAATTGTAAATACATCAGATCAGAGGTCTAAAAAGCAATCCAGTGTAATTGGAACAAAACCAAACGATAGCACAAGTTTCTACTAACATTGACAAGAAATAAGGAGACATAAGATTGTTTCTGAATGTTTTCTAATTGGATCCGCTGGTGGACAAAATATCTTTTCTTCATGAATAATCATTTGCTATTTTTTATTATTATTTATTTCGAATACTTATTTACCTTTTCTAATGTAGCTGCACGCGTATGCGCAAACGTCCCAATCATAATTTATACCGATAATATATATGTAAACGCTTATTGAGACATCTTGTAAGTCAAACAAAGTCGATCTTAACTCAAAGAAGCATTGCAAATAAAGAAGTTTGATAAACTTACTAAGTTTAAGAAAAATATGGAAATCAGTACCTGGATTGTTTTACGAATGTATGCAATCTTTGTAAAAACAATCCACTATAACGAAAAGTTTAGAAATCGTAAAACGTACATGTTTGGACGGGGCCCATACAATAAAAGAGGAATCATATATTCATGTTACCCCTAAAAAAGCTATTGATTTCAACGGAGCTAAATGCGGCAAAACTTGCATAGAGCTGAAGGACTTCTAAGAATGTGCATAGAATGCAATATCGTAAACATCTTGATCGCTTTTTCAAAAAAGATTGTTTCTGAGATGATAGTCGTTGATCGATTCAATTGACGTCATATTATTTCGGTCAAGTTTCATTGATGTTTCTTTCATCACAAACGTCAACTGAAAACGTCATTGTTGAATTGCAATAATCTTCATATTTTGAGCAAAAATTCTTTATCGCCCACCTAGCTATTTCATTTGACAGCATTTAGTCAATAACCAGATCTTTTTCTTTCCAAACATGCCCTTTTTCCCAACTTTTACGCGTCCAGCAGCGATAGGCTCGTCTCGGAGGTGTTTTCTTCTTTAAGGTTGAAGGCTGCTTTATCTTCATGGAAAATAACGAGTTTACGTAAGAATTATTTGTGGTGGTGACAAAACACAGTAGAATTGCTTGATATTATTAGTGTAAGACACTGGATTCGGTCACAACGCAGGTCAGCGGTAATTTTCTGCAAACGTCATACATGTTTCCAACCCTCAATGTTAAACAACTTAAATTTTCTGTCAAAATTATGGAATACCCAGAGTTTTCGTGATTTAATCGGTAATGAGCTCTTGTTTTCAATTTGGTTTGCATAACTTCGAAAATTGAAATCTTTTGGAAAGATCTTACATTTTGTCAAAATATTTACTTTTAAGCCGATTTGTGAGACTGACTTAATTAATTTTGTCAGACAATGAGTTCAACTGCTGAGCCGATATCTTAATGAGAAATTCCGCTATTCTTTTTGTCCTACACATTTTGAATGATTGTTCTTGGTGGAAGTTGCGTTGCTAAGTTAGCAACAGATATCGTATATCCTAAAAATTATGTTGTAACACCATCTCTCAAATGTAGACCAATAACCAAATAAATATTTAAAATTGGCTTTACTACATGTTAACATTGTGCTTACGTTCTTAAAAATTTGGTACTGAAATGGTCTCTCCTGGTGTCGTTATACTCAGTTGTTATTGCTTGCAAAGCTGTCTGTCCTAGAGCGTTAATTGCTTGGGAGAGGGGGGAGGGAGGGGTTCATACTCTCAGTCGTGTCCTTCTGATTTCATTTTGAAAAAATTTTAACTCAAGAGAAATCTATGTGCGAACTTCTTTAAAAGAAAGCAGTCCTGCTCTGGTTGCACAACTGAATATAGTAAATAACCCCCACTCACACAAAAACCCGTACAAAACCAAACCAAAAACAACAAAAAGCAACACAAATAACGCTCTAGTTACGGCCCTCTTTGTTTGTATCTTTCACAGTCACATTATCGTCCAGGGAAAATGGTATTAGTTGATGATTACTTTCATTATAATGCGTCATTATGTTTATAGGATATTTAGAATTTTGTAAGATTATTGTAAATATGTTTTAAGAGAATATATCAAACAAATTACTTAAAAACTCTCGAAAAACTCTGTAAAGAAATTATTCTGTAACCATAAATGCAACTTACTGTATTGAAAAATACCTATTATATTGCATGGATTAAAATTTAGCCAATGCTAAAAACAACTATTAGAAATAAGAATCCTTTGGAATTAATCACTCTCTCAGAAGTAACTTCCATTTGAGTCAACTAATTTGGAAATCGAAATATTTTGAGCGGCTTCTTGCGAAACTCTTCTGCAATTCATAAAAGCGCTTCTTTCCTCTCGGGCCCAGGCCACGTATTTTGAAACGCATCCTTGCATCACAAAGAAAATGCCAATAATGTACCATCACACGAATCATTTGACAACAAGGTAGTTGGTGAACGCGTTATTATCAAAGAATTTACCTAGCAGGCACAAATAGGATGAATCTCTGACAGTTTAAGGATAAAAATAAGGTGTTCTACATCTTATAGGGTACGTAAATAAGCCTGTTGTTCTTCGTGATGTGTGTGTAGCGATCAAACAAGATTAACCTTTGTATGCATGTCATAAAGTCAAATTTCATGCTTAGTGCATGACTTGTGTTTAGAAATTTTAATGCCATAATGAAATGTGTAAATTTTAATCCTTTTCAGAAAATTTCAAATAAAAAACTATTATTCTCGCAGTCAGCAACACAGTTACATAGCATGGGTAAACATGAACACCAGATCAGCAATTGTTTGTTTAATTATTCGTCAAATGACGGTTAATTTTGACGGTTCTGGTTTCGAATGGGTTGAGTACATTTTGATTAATCGGGTGCAAGGATATCGCTACGCTCTATTTCCATTGGTTGAAAAATGTGAGGGATCGTTTTTGTACGCTTACCACGCACAAGAGAATTTAAAAAAAGAAAAAACTGACTTAACTGTCGAGAATATTGAACAATTGGTTCCTACTGGGTTGAGTAAATTTTACACAGAACAATTCAAGAGATTAAATAAATTATTGAAAGAAACAATTTTATCAACACACAAAACCGTTATTTCCGATAAAAACTTTACGGAATGTCTTGCAGTGTTGGTGACTTATCAAAGTACTTTGCCTTTGTCTTTTCTTTTTCAATGTTTAGGTTTTCCTGATGACATGAAGTTTAAAGATCGTATTAAAATACATAAAGTGCTATCTCAATTTTTTCCAAATTAAGATGACTATTTGACCGTGTATCACAAATCTCTCATTGATTGGTTAAAATCAGATGGTTATGAAGAGCATGAGTTTACAGTTGATCCAAAAAATGGTCATAAGTTGTTATGGTATGCTTGTGAGAAAGTGCTTGAACACATCAAGTCGATGAACATTTTTGAAGATCAGATGAACACTGCTATGATTAACTATGCTTTGGAGAATGGAATCTATCAAATATCACACGAAGATTTTGATTGTCGTAAGGATGGTCGCTTGTTTTACATGTGAAAATTACTAAAAGTGAAAACCTTTAATCTCTGGACGAACTTTATGTTGATGGTTTACTTTTTAATACAAATGTATGGTCAGATAATTTGGTTATTTTTATTATATATTAAACGTTCACTACATAGAAATGAAAGAATGTCGACAACTCATTCAATGTGAGTCGTTTGACAATATGGTGTTGTTGTAGATGAAGATTATTTTGTTTAAATTATAGAGTGACTTTCTTTGAACATTCTTTCAAAAACTGTGAATAAAATTTACCTTACGCATGTTAATATCGTGAAAACAAGTTTTGTATGATGTTAAAATTCACATTTATAAAACACCATCATAATGTCATGTCATGTCTTTGGGTTTTATGGTCATTAGTTGAAAAATGTGAGAGATCATTTTTGTACGTTTATTATGTACATATGACCTTAAAGACAGAAAATGTTATATACTGTCAACAATTCCCGTATGTAAAAACATCATGACGTCATGTCAATAACTATGATAAAAATTATTGAGTAAAACTTTCCCGATTTTGACATAAGTTCATTTGAACTGAAGAATTGAATTTTTTTGAGTAAAATTTTTTGGATTAAAATATTGAAGAATGATAGGTTTCACTTTCTAATTTCATTTTTTAAAATAAAATTTATCATTATAAAGTTGATGATAATACAACGTACAATATATGGCTATAGTTTTAACTTTTAACAATTGTACACAACATAAAACGTTTTACTGATAATTTGAAGATCCAGGTGCTTTAAACACTTTAATGTAACAGATTTTTCATGTTCGAAGTTTGAGGCATCTTATAAAAACAGGTACGTGTAGCGTACATTTTGTTGTCTTTAGATGACTAAGGTAAACATTGGAGTTTTTCAAAATAAACATGTTTCAACATCTCGTGATGTCATCTTCAGTATTAGTGACAATACTGTGTATATGTTATAACATATATGGTAGTAATGTGATACAGTGATAGTTTATTTAAATATAAGTAGATTATATACAGTAAAATATTGATATGAATTAATGACAAATGTGTTGACAAGTTCTTCTCTACTTTGAAATTATAAAATCTTAAGTTCTTAAGTTTTTCTTACTTTACAAAAGGGGAGAGATAACTAAGGACAGAGTAATAAAATTAGGGCAACCTCTCGAGCAGGTGCAACCCTCAATCTTCGGTCTCCGGCTTGCACTGATCTGCTTTTGAGTTCTCCCAAAGTTCTCCTCGGTTTGCATAAGCCTGTGCATAAACATTAAACATCTTTTATTTCTTAATTGCATGATCATGTTACATTGAGGCTTCATTTGACAAAATTTAAGGCTTTGGCTGCGTTTACACTATATACCAGATTTGCTCATCAAGATATCTTCATTTGGTTTCAAGAGGTAACAGTTTGGAGTAAATGCCTATAAAGTTGATAGATTTTAGTCAATTTAATTGTGTTTTTTGCATTTAACGATATCAACTGACTTTTAATACAACACAATAGTCTATTTTAAAAAGTGATGATTGAATTTCTAAGAGAAAAAAATGTCGCCAAGTAATTGCACGAAGCATAAAACTTATGCGATCAACAAA